CCGCACCCGCCCCTCCAAGCCCCCCCACCCCCTTCTCTGTCTGGAGTCTCCTCCGTGGGGTCATGCACCCCGCACACGGCCACTCCTCTGCTTCCCCGTGGCCCTGTCACTGGAACTAGGTGCCGCCAGCCTGCGGGACCCGGGGCGAGGCTGGGATGACTCGGCATCGTCACCAGGGAGGCAGGTGGGTGGTTGTTCGTGCTTCCCTACAGGCGTGGGTCTGGTCCGAGATGAGGCCCTGCCAAGCTCACAGGGCGGTCAAGGCCAGTGCTGGAGTCTCTGGGTCTGGGTGCGGGGGACCACTCAACACCAGCGCCCCAGCTCCCGTCCTGCCGTCCAGCCACTCGTCCAGCAGACACGCCTGGCGTTCCTGCCCTGCCGTTGGGGCCGCTGGTCCGAGGGCCACGGTGCAGGACGCACTCGTACTTGCACTTGGGGCCTCCCAGCACGGACCTGAGCTGAAACTCCCCCCGGCTCCTGTTAGCCGGCCCCGCTCCTCGAGTCCATTCTCCACATGGACCGCGGAGTGGGATTCTGAATATTCCAATTGGACCTTGTTGATCCCTGGCTCATAGCCCTCCACTGGCTCCCCAGACCCCTAGGCTCCATGGCGACATGACTGCCCCTCTGGCTGCAGATTACAGATGGCGGGACCGACACCACGGAGGCACAGGTGTGCTGGGAGGCACTGCAACTGTGTGGGCCAGACCCAGGGCCTCTGCCCAGGCAGGCAGGAGGCTGCGGAGGCCGGAAGGCTGCAGGCCTGGACCCCTGCGGACCCCACTGGAGCCGGTGGGAACGTCTGGATACCGCCCGCAGAGTCACTTGGGCTGGCCTTGCGAAGGCAGTAGGGGTCGTTAAGGAAATGTCCGACCCATATCGCGGGCTAGTTTTCGTTTTCTGCAGGCTAATGCTTAAGTTGATGCATTTGCATGGCCCGCAAATGATGTTACAAATATCCACATGGCCCCGGCAGAAAAAAGGTTCCCCACCCGACTCTAGAGCAAGGCTGAGTGGCCAACGACAGCGCAGGGGGTAAAACAGACCAAGGCACCAAATGCATGAACAAACCAGAGCCCATTCCCTCGGCACGCACTTCCGGCCCCTGTGGGGACCATCAGACCATCGGCATCGGCAAGCGCACGGACCCCCAACACTGCGACTGCCGCTCGGCCCGCACGTTCTGAACAGACACACTGGAGGGGGCGCGCCTCGGGGCAGGGGTCTGTCTGTTCAGCACCTCCCCCCGGACAGGCACCCTCTCTAAGAGGAATGAATGAATGAATGAATGAATGAACCGAGAGGCATCAGGGGCCGGTCACCTGCACCATCGTCCTCTCGGAAGAACTCCTCGCTGTCGTTGGCAGAGTGAGACTTTTTCATCTCGGCGATGCGGTTCCGGGGCACCTTCCTCTTGAGGGACGGGGAGAAGAAGGTGGGCCGGTTGTTCCGCTCCGGGGTGGGGGGCGTACTGAAGGAGGTCATCTGGGGACAAAGAGCCGTAGTCACAGAGCGGCCGCCAACCAGCGGGGATCCCAAAGCCACTCACCTGCCCTCAAAGAACCCGACACAGAGCTCCCCGTGGGAGCACTGGCTGAGGAGGGACTTGGCTGTGGCACCGAGCCCACCCTGCTGCGGGCTACGTGGGCACTAGGACATGGTTTCAGCTCAGGGGCCAGCGGACGGCCTGGCCACCAGCTCTGCCCTCAAACACTGGCAGGGGCTGGGTAAGTGCCAAGATTGGCTGCTAACGCTGCTCAAGCGCCTGCCACAGCACTGAAACCACAGAACTTCAACGAGATAGGACCCGCACTAACCCCTCGGGCAAGTGAGGACTCGAAGGTGGACAGCAACTTTAACTCGTCCAACGTGAACTTTCCCATCACCCGGCAGGACGATGGCACAACGGATTGCAACTCAGGTCTTCCGCCCTCATTTCCTGGCTAACATGTCCCCATCCCCATCCCCCCAGCATTCTTCCACACACTTGCTATGGCTAAGTGGTCCATGCTTCCATCCCCTCCTCTCCTCTCTTCTAACCACACTGTTCAGTTCACCAAACATTCTCCACACCCGCTTGGGGCCCAGCGGACGCAGCACTAAGCACAGACAGGCACATGACACTGGTCCCTGCCCTCAAGGAGCTCACAGTCTGCTGGGGGCAACAGACTCAAAGAGGAACAACAACAGACTGCATGTTGGTTGCTGAGACAGATAAAGAGAGGCACGGAACACAGGGGAGCACAGAGGCAAAAGCCCGAGAAAGCAGGGAAGGCTTCCTGGAGGAGATGCCGCTGGAGCCGGGTCTTGAAGGACGAGTAGGAGTTCGCCAGGTGAAGAAGGGGGGGAAGGGCGTTCCAGGCAGAGGGAACGTGGCCCCTCTCCTCCCTCCTCCCCATGCAAACAAGAATCTGAGGAACAGGGTGAGCTGGGACCGAGACTTCCGGAGCCCATCAGCCTCTTCATCATGGCTCTGACGTCCACCAAAGTCCCGGCGGCCGCTGGCTCCAGGTGGTCCTCCCACAAGTCAGGGAAGGTTTAAAAGATAAAAAACAAACACCAGAAACCACAATACACACAGAATCTGCATTTGTCATACGCTGGTTACAAATGACCCCCCTGGAAAAGGAGGGTAAGCAACAGTGAGCACAGAGGTGGCAGAGGCCTGGAAGGTCCCCAGGAGGTCAGGCCCTGCCACTCACAGCTGTGTGGCCCTGGCAAGTCCCTCCCCGTGACCCCGGGACCACCCTGCGAAGAGAGGCCCCTGCTTGGGATTCTCACCCCTCCTTACAAAAGCACCGTTTGTTTTGTTCTGCTTATAAAACACATTCATTGCAGAAGATACACAAGGAAAGGAATAAAGACACTAAAGAAAATGACCTCTGGCCCCCTGGAGGTACGCCTGTTGTCATCATTAGACAGAATTAAAAGTGCGGCAAACACTCCCCCGCACTCAGCACACAGCGCGTTATTCACATTCCTAAGAGTCATTTCCCAAGCGGGTCACCAGCGAAGTCACTACAGTGGCTGCTCCCTGGACACCTGAGGGCCATCCCTGTGCAGGCGCTTGAGGTGCAGCGGCTCCTCGGAGCCTCCCAGCACTGCAGGAGCCGGTGTCACCCCATTTCTGGATGAGCGCAGAGGCTCAGGGAGGAAGAGAGACTTGTCCCAGGGGGCGAGCAGCAGCGCCCAGACTCCAGCCCACAGAGTGCCCCCCAGCCCCTCCTGGCGATGCGCTGAGCAGGGCGGCCTCCTGCCCACTGTGCTCACATGCCTGTCTCCTTCCAAGACCCCAGTCCCGAGATACCCAAGCCGGCAGAGCGGCCAGTGGGCTGGGGGAGACTTCCTCCTCCCTGAGCCCCGCTGAAGGCCGAGTACAGCCGCCGGCAATCTGGGTCCCCACCCCGGGGAAGGATGATGGCCTGGCAATGGCAGGGCTGCAAGGCTGTGCTGTCACACCAGAGTCGTGCGACCAGGGGTTCCCAGGTTTACAGACAGGAAAGCTCCCTCCTGCCCGTGGGGTGCAGGGGGCTGTGCAGCTGCTCACCTGGGAGACACCTGGCGGGCAAAGAGCAGAGCTGCTGCTCGGGGAACAGGACGGAGGCCAGTGCCTCCGTCTCTCTCACAGGGAAGGCCTGTCACCCGCCTGCGCTCGCCCAGCAGCTCCACCGACGCAGGCACCAGCGCACGGTAAACTCGGCCTGGCTGCGCCGACAGCTCAGGGGAGCACAAAGGGCTCTGGCCCCGGCACTAACCTGCTGTGTGACCCTGGGCAAGTGACTGGCTCTCTCTGAACCTCGGCCTCCTCCCCAGAGAGTGGGGACAATACCTACCTCCCCTGGGGCTGTAAGGATCAGGGAGACCGTGGGAAGCAGAATCAAGGGACAGGAAGCCCTGCCTGAGGGGGCAGCCCTTACCCGCTCGTGCATGGGCGAAGCCGGGCTGGAGTCCTCTTCAGTCCCGCAGGGGGACGTGTCACCAGTGGACACACGGCTGACGGCCATCTCTGCGTGACCCTTGCCCTGGGGCCCCTTCATGCGCACGAACTCCATGTTGTTGTACTTGTAGAAGCCAAATGACATCTTCTGCGCCATGCGGGCGGCCACGCTCACCTGTGGGCAGTGGGAAAGGCTGAGCCAGGCTGGTGGGCGGACAGTCACCCCTCCTGGAGCAGGCCCCCAGCAGGCAGGGCAGTGCTGCACACGTGGGGTCCCCGGCTGACATTCCCCCTCACTGCCAGTGACCCGGTGACCCAGGAGGCCCAGGGCCTGGCTGGGAACAGAGCTGCAGCCCCAGAACCCGAGCCCGTCCCCACCCCCAACCCCCCACCAGCACAACCCCCAGGCTCCAAGGAGGCGAGCCTCAGGGTGGCGCCCAGCTCCGGAGAGAGCCTCCACCTGGCTCTTGTCCCTCAGGTGGTCAGGGCCGGCCCTGGGAGTGTCCTGCTGGGAGTGGCCCGGGAAGGTCACACAACGCTGGCCCTGAGCCACCCTAGTGGGCCTGGGTGCGCAGGTTCTCTGAGGAGGGCGGCACGGAGGCTGGGCCCGGGCCACCCGCGCTCACCCGGTTGTCGTACACCTTCTTGAGCGCCTCGTAGCGGATGGAGCCCTGGAAGATGACCCCTTGGAACATGTTGGTTTTGTCACTGGCGACCAGCTCCACACAGACCATCTCTCCTTCCCCCACAGTCATGTCGCTGAACACCTGGGGTGGGAGCAAGTGGAGAGAAGACATCAACTGTCAGCTGCTCACCACCCACCCCTCACACGCCCCGAAAACTCCCATTTAGCAGATGAGAACACTGAGGCACAGATGAGAAACCTGCGGCCACCCAGCTCTGTCACCCTCCGCCGACCCAGCGCAGCCCAACTGCGGGCAGGGGCAGCGTCCAGCAGAGAGCGCTTGTGCCTGTGACTCTGGGAGGGAAGGGGAGGGACTCCTGGCCCTCATCACACCTCCAGGCTAAGAAGTTAGACAGTTAGAGGACTGTCTAGCCCAGGATCCAGGATCTCCCCGCTATGGCCATGGGGGACCAGCCCCTCCCACCCCGCCCCACCCTGAACTTCTCAGCTTCTATGCAGGCAGAGTGACCCCGAGTTTTGAGGCCACACAGACTCGGGTTCAAATCTCAGCTCCTTGGATGAACGAGTTGTGTGAGCCTCCACGGGCACTTAGCCTCCTGAGCCTAAGATGCTTCAAGATACCATCAAGCTCTGGCTGGTGTGGCTCAATGGATAGAACGTCGGCCTGCACACTCAAGGGTCGTGGGTCTGATTCCTGGTCAAGGGCACATCCCTGACCCCAGTCAGGGCACCTGCGGGAAGCAACCAATCTATGTGTCTCTCTCACATTGATTTTTTTCTCTTTCTCTCTCCCCTTTCCTCCCTCCCT